TGTCAACAGAGGCCGGCGGGGGGGGGGGGGGAGTCCCCAGGGGTTTCGGCAGATGTTGTTCTCTATCATTTCAAGCAGAGATGGACTCCGTGCCTGTCTGACTCGATGCTGTGTGCGCCCTACCATCCAGCTGTGGCCTCCTCAGAAGAGCTCCAGATGAAAGTCTTCTTCGTCACTTGAAAAGTTTTATATTTTTTTGTTCTCTATGTACAATTATAGGGATACATTCACATAGTTAGCATTCTTTTTTTTACATTCGTTGTTCTTATATGTTTGTCATTCCATTTCCAGGGTTATAACATACCGTTTGGGTTGCTTTGTTTACCATCCCATCTGCCTGTTTCGACACCACCTTCTTCTCCTTTTCTTTTCTCCCTCCCTCCCTTCACTACTTTCTTCCTCGCTCTTTCCTTTCCCTCCCTTCTTCCCTTCCTTCTTCCCTTACCTCTTCCCTACTCCTCTCTTCTTCCCCTTCCCCTTCCTACTTTCTCTCCTTCTCCCTTCCATCTTCCTCTCGTCACCGCTATCTTCCTTCTCTTCTCTTCCCCTCCTCCTCTCTTCCTTTCTTTTCTCTTCCAGCTCTTAATTTTTATTTTCTTGGGGTGGCAATTCCACAGACCCAAAAGTAATTTGGCTTTCAAAGAATTGCCTATTAATAAATACCAATCCCTCCCCGCTCTTCTTCAGCGAGTGAGAGGGAGCTTCTAAAACACCACGGTTTCCATGTGTGGCAACACGGGTTTTCCCCTCTGGGAGGACGTCTCCAGCTGAATTAACCTGGTTATGGTGGGCATCCCATCCATACGTCCACTTGAGAAGATGGATCATGAAAACACACCGACAAGCCTCCCATTGTATTTAGGATGCTAGGATCCGCTCCGGCATTCAATAAAGGAGGCCAAGTCAAGACTTTGAAAGCCCCAATCCACAAGGGCCCCAGATCCCAAGCCTAGCAACCGTCTCCAAGTAGAAGCGAGCAGTTGTGAAATCACTTAAGGAGCTCTGGAAAAGTTGAGTCAACAATGAGATCCTGGAAGGAGAGAGAGAGGGGGAAAAAACCCTGAGCCAAAACAGAAGCTGTTTTACCACCAGGAACCGGATTTATTCCAAAGCACCAGAAGACGAGACAAGGAACAATGGACGGAAACTAATCAAGGAGAGAAGCAGCCTAGAATTAAGGAGAAGCTTTCTAACAGTGGGGACAATTAAGCAGAAGTTGCCACCAGAAGTTGTGGGTGCTCCATCCCTGGAGGTTTTTAAGAAGAGACTGGATGGCTACCTATCTGAAACGGTCTTCTGCTTGAGCAAGGGGGTTGGACTAGAAGACCTCCAAGGTCCCTTCCAGCTCTATTCTGATTGACTGAACCATCATTTTCATATGCTTGTGTTATCGTGGAATCCCAGAACTGGAAAGAACTTTTAAGTACAAATAAGTTGTAGTTGACAATAGGGTCAATTACCGCATCTCTGAAATTGACTAGCTAGTACTTGTTTCAACTCCCCAGTTCAGGCAGCAGCTTCTTCCAGGGAATTTCTAAATTTGGGAAGTTCCTTCTGATGTTACATTTAACCTTATTTCTTGTCACCAACCATTGCTTCTGCTCCAGACCACCATACGCAGGACAATCCTTCAAACGTTTGAAGATGTGACCATCAACCATCTTTATTTTAGATTACGTATACTCAGATTGGGACGTGGTGGCTCAGTGGCTAAGACGCTGAGCTTGTTAGCAACCAGTTCTCTGCCAGGTTGTGCTGGGTGGGCGTGGCCATAGTGGGCGTGGCCTACTCAGCCTCCTGAACCACAGCGGGGGGAGGAGTTTT